GCGGATCTGATTGATATGGACATTAAACGCGAGTGAAGTCTAATCCTGACGGGAGAGAGATAGTCAGCTGCTGCTGACGAGTCGACACGCAGCTCTGCATGATCACATGCAGCGGTGAGCGGACAAAACACACACTTCAGGTTAGAATATCACACGTAGCTATTTTAATTACCTCTCAAACTACCGTAACTAGTTATAGATATGTTTAGTTTTACTGTCGGGTCACTCATTACTGATCCGCGAGCTGCATGATACTGACGGGCTGTCAGGAGAGGAAGAGAGCTCTCCGTTTATTATTCCCGTGTTATTGTAAATTACTGTACACTTTTGAATAGTTAATCTACCATTATTAGTTTGTTTAATATCGAATCATATCAATTTGTTTTAAAGCTCAATAAATAACAAAGAAGACCTTTGACCTGCACTTTTCAAATTGTGTCCGGAAGATTTAAACTTTAACGGACATGTTGACCGGCGAAAGAATATTCTAACGGGAACTCTGGTCTGGGGATCAGGCCAATGCCAAGCTGATATACAGTTAATATATATTATTTGTTTACTTTATTTTCTCAGCTTCAACAGACTGGACTTGCCGCCATACAAGAGCTACGAGCAAATGAAGGAGAAGCTGCTGTTTGCCATCGAGGAGACGGAAGGCTTCGGACAGGAGTGAAAGGAATCAGGAGGCGTTTGATAGTGTGCAGGACTCTGAAGGAAAACAGTGTTCAAATCAGGGAGCCCCTTCAGAAAAAGCGGGTGTTTTCATTCTACTCAAGCATGCACGCACACACTCGTTTGCTACTCCTTCGGGTGCGTGTGTGAGACCGTCGCCTGCATGCTGTTGCTACGGAGCTGGGATTATGGTCTTCTCTGCTCGCGGCAGGCCTCTCGATAAGTACCTGAAAAATGTTGTATTCTTCTGAACCTGAAGCTGCTCCCATCTCTCAGGATGTGCGGCAAATTATGCATGGGATCCTGAAAACGCACCCTCCATGAAACCTGCAGGATTTCCCCCGCCTCACATCATGAAATGGCGAGCAATGGGGGGGCATCGTAGAAATCTTAAAACCAGAAAGGGCACAGGTTCTTAAAGTAGAGTCTCGCAACGGTGACTTTGATCGTGATTTAATTCTTAAAGTGTTTATTTTAAGATAAGATTGAGAGGGTGTGCTTTTTCTTTAACAGTTGAAGGCACAATGAGTAGGATTTGTTCAATTACAATTTTTTTTAACACATTTAGAGTCAGCTAAACGAGGGTGACGGTGCTCGCTAGCAGATAAGAGCTATCCCCAGATTCAATTTCGTTTTGGAAGGAAGTTTATTCTGCACGTCGTTGACATTTTCCTGGCACTATGTCTGCGTTTTTTTCCTAAATCAATGCCTACAATCTGGCACCTTGGTCGCTACATTTGTATGGTAGAATTTGCCGACAAACGGACAAATAATGGCAAAAATAAGAGAAAATCCACATCTCTGTTCCAGATCCACACACTTCTGAAGTGAGGATTGACAGGATTAATTGTTCTACAATCTGTACATTTTGGAAAAATCGTACTCATTGTGCCCTTTCACCAAAAAGCAGACGTTGTTGCCCTAAGATTGTTTATCGTGTCCACATTTAAAATGACGACAAACGGTGACTTTGATCACATCCTGAAATCTCTCTCACTTTCACTCATGACTTAAGTGATTTTTTTTTGTGACCATATAAAATGATTGCTATGTCGTTGTTTATTTTTAAAGTGCCCCAAATTAATGCTTAAATAACAGACAATCTTGGTGCTGCAAAGAGATTTTTGCAACATGTCTAACACGCGTAACTAGATCACTTTTTTTTGTGTTCTATAGTATTTGATCTGTGAATCGCTTAATGATTGTGAAAAGTGTTGGAGCCTCCATTATTTTAAAGTAGTGGGAAATGTGGACAACAGAACTTAAACTGACCCTAGTTTTATAGGGAAAGAGTTTGAACGCTGTGACGGGAATGGGGAGTCTTGGATTATAGAGAATTCTGGGAGTATTTTATAAGTTATTCGTGTTAAAATCAGCTTCAGAGGGTTATTTTAATTCACGGGGTGGGTTTGTTAAAGACAAGGTCCTGAAAAATCTAGTGGGAATGAAGTATTTTAAAATATGTATGAAGTACTTCAATTAATGTGTCAGAACTTTAAATTATTATTTTTAGAAAGCAAGTGAAAACACCAAATGCAAGTCAAACCAAATCTTGTTTTTTCTTTTAGTTTAGATCAAATCTGAAGTGATATTTTGAATGCTTTCTTTGCAAAACTCCACAAGAAATTGCGAGAAAAAACATATGTAGCATTTGAAGGAGATTGATGAACGTATTGCCCAACAGCCTACCACAAAATGAACAGGAACAATTTAATGACATTCTTACAAATTTTAAATAAAACTCTGTCAAAAAGATGCATGAGGTATTTTTAAAACTTCAGTTTTTCTTCCACACTTAACATATAATTTACCTCTTATTTACAGTAAAAATCCATCTGATGTCAGTTTGCTTTTTCCGACCGAGATACTGATTTATAAATGTATGTCTGAAACAATTTTTAAAATGGTGTGTTCAGGTATTAATTCTTACTGTGGTCTTTATGGATCTCAATAACTATCCAGTAATAACAGAAGTGTGTGACGGAAAGACACCTCCAGATGTGGAACGAAACTGCAAACATCTGTTTGGTTAGGTTGACGTCACACATTTAATCAGTCACAGAGATCCAGGGAGTGCTGTTGCTCATTTAGAGTGAGTTAAATACACTCTAAATAGAAAGGTTAGGGCGGCACAATTCATCACATTTTTATTAAAATCACAATATGGACTAGTGCAATATCCAAATTGCAGTAAGCGCAATAATATACATTTCTGTTTAGGCAACATATTTGAAAATATTCTGAATGAAGTGAAGCTGAAAATATATCCCGGCCTTAACAGTATTCTACAGACCTATTAATAAAAATGATTGTTCAGTATGATCCTCTTAAAGAAACCACACCATCCTTGTATCACGAGCTGTTGACCAATCACAACCGAGCCAGCCAGCTAACCAGAGCAGAAAGGGCTCTGGTTTCAGACAGAGGGTGAAAAGAGGTGCTGCAGCACAGGCAGTATGAGAAAACCTTTTTGAACATTAAAGAATTGAAACTTGTCCAGTAGAGTCACACTATACACATATGGACCTGAAATTAGCATAATAGGAGCCTTTTAGTGATAATCGTAATACCATTTTTATAGTTCTTGCAAATCATATCGAAAATATAATTGCCAGTGGGTATTTTTCCAAATTGTGCAGCCCTAGCTTAGGTGGTGTTGGTGTGACATAGCAGAGCACTTTAAAACTAAATATCCCTCCCTTTTCTTCTCAGTATGTGAATAATCTAGTCCTGGGCTCTTTGTTTCAACTTGATGGTGAGATGGTGTTTGTCATGAGCCTTCAGGTAGCCTTATTTCCATTCTCAGGCATCAGAAATCCTTTGTTAGCAAAATGGTCATGGCAGAGATTAACCGAGAGTTCTGAGATAGTGCACCAGTTTGGAAAAGCTATATGCTGATGACACTTCAGCATGGATAACAACTACTGAGACACAGTCAGTGTAATATAACGAATGTATCATAATGAAACGTTGCCTCAGATTGTTACCCCTGATGCAGAGTGAGGTTTTGATCTGGGTCGAACACAAATAAAAAATCCCAGGGAGTTGGCAGATAAATGTGAATATCATAATTCACCGCCTTTTTTCCCCTCCATGTACAACTGAAACCACTGTCACTCCTGTATATGAAAACAAGTTGTAAATGGTGTCAATAACAAATGTTCTTTTTTAAAAAGAAAGGTTTTAATAAGAGGTTTATGGTAACACTATATTTTCTTTTCCCTGTTCAATTGCCGATGTACATGAAAGATGTGTAATATAGAAATTGTCACCTTAATAAATTAAATTTAAAAAAAGCATTGTGCCTTCAATGAGTTAATCTGTTTAATATGAATTAGTATTATGTATTCCTTTTTCTTATTTCTTATCATTTGTATTTCTTTTTAACGTCATTACCCTGCTAGACGTCCCGAAAAGGGGTAGAAGAAGTTTTAGTTTCAGGGGGCCAGTCGAGCGGAGGAGCCAGGTGAGATGACAACTGCTGTCCACCAGTCCATCTGAAGGTAAATGTCATGCAATGAATGTATACATACTGTAAGCAAAAGAATAGCAAGTCCCAAATGTATGCTTTTTTACAGTGTACATATTGCCTTGCATTTGACGGCATTTTGCTGTTGCAAGGCATAAAAAAGCATGTGAAATGTTAACCGTGAACAGTATAAGATCACATTTAACACGTTTTTTATTTAAAAATTATTTATGGTTATCAGCATTTATATTACAATAATTATTATCTGCTCTTTTTGTTTAAAAATAAATATGCTAATTGGGGTCTAAATATTCTCTGAGCATCATTTGACATATCAGATCCTTAAGCACACAGTGGTGATGATGACAGATGATGACAGTTGATTATTTTTAAACAATGTAAATACATTGGAGGCTACTACTTGTATCATATGGTCTCTATACAGTAAATCTAATTTCTCTGCAGGTGTTTTTTGGAACAATGGAATATGATTTTAAACGTGGTAGCCTATTAGGAAAACAATTTTGATCATAGATTGATTGTCAAACTATTTTTCTAAGAAAGTGTTAAACGATTAATCGTGAAAGATAAATGGATATTGAAAAAAATATTGTGTTGTAGCCAAGCTTACATTGATCCGTATAGCTATTAATTTTTAACTAAACTATTTTCCGACTTTTTATAGATCAAACTCTTAATCAGTAAATATTTGGCACACCCGATTATAATAGAGGCGAAGTCCCTCCCTTTCCGGGGGACCTCCATGGGACCATATTTCGGAAAAAGTATGTATTGAAGTCAAAACCGCTCAATTAACCACATCTCCCGTTTCGCACCACACACACCCAGCGCCGTATAGACTGAGAGTTACGTCATCTCCGTTCACTCCAATGGACCACTTTTTTACAGCAATGGCGGATCGTGGAGCCTCTCAATCGTTCCCCGGAAGTTAGCGCCAAGGCTAGCAGAGCTGTAGAGTTGCAGCATAATAGACCGTTCGTGACGGACTTTTAAAGGTAAGAAGAAGTTTAAAGATTTATATTGCGGATATTATCAGTACATCTGATTCAAATTAACATGTGTATTAAAGGATGTCAGTGGATTATCCCTAAATTAGTAGATTTAGGGAACGTTTACAGATAACAGATAAAGCTAGGATACCGGATCAAGTTAGCAACACACGTTGAACAGCCTTTTAATTGTAAATTCCGTTCTCTTAATGTCATTTTGTCCAACGTTGTTGAATTAGAGAAGAGGGGATTGTATGCGGGGGTGGAGGGAGTTAAATATTAGATAAATATAACTTTGGTGCGTGTAAGAGTGAGTGTTTATGGCAGAGCCATATTGTGTCCTTGTGATTATGTTGATTATTACCTGTCTGTATAATGTTGCAGCTCAGCTGATTTTGGATTGATGGCAAAGGGAGAGGGACTTAAGTGAGAGTGAAAACACAAGGTAAGTTTAATACTACTGTTTTATATAAGTAAGCATACTAAACATGTATTCTATCACTGTATTATATAAGTAATCTTGTTAGTAACCTACTGTATGGCAGGTGGAGGGGCAGTGATGTTACAGGTGCAGGAGCAAAACTGCAAGACTGCAAACTCACAAGACAGGCAGGTGGAAGAGCAATGTTTAGTCC